CAAGAGTACCTTTGGCGGTGTGAATGGGTAGGTATCCGGGATCTTGATTTCCAAATCGAATGAGCCTCCTTGATATGGTGTATCGGGTGGTCCTCGGATTTGTCCTTTAATCTCCGACAGTGAATCATTCAGAATTTCGATCATAATACCCGTCTCAGCGATCTCCTTATTGGTGACAACTTCTTTGCATTCCCGTTGAATTCGAGTGAACGCGATATTGGACATCGAGAACTGAATTTACATTCAAATAAATTATATTTGAGGAACCGAATCACAATAAAAAGAAACGATTACATGAAAACGGCGATGTGGTTTCAAAAACAGGTAACAACTGATTTGAAGCCTATTTACAGATTTTCTAATCTATCGCACTATAAAGAAAGGATCTCTTCATACAGAACTCAACTGCAGGGTAGGATCTGCATTTCTGAAGCCAGAAAAATATCAACATCAATAACAAATGATTATGAGAATTGACTTACAAGGAAATTTCTCAGGTAACTTGCCTACAGTAACTGTATAGCTTATTTTCCAAAATTAAATAGCTCGTGATTCCTAAACTGATCTAGTTAGCTAGCCCTGACCTTGTGAGCAAAATTTGGGGGATAGCAGGTTTTCTAAAGAACGCAGTGTGACGAGTACCACCCAAAAAACAAACCCTGCACGAAAGTTGTGCGTTTTTACGTAATCTACGTGATGTCCGCAATGTTACGTTCACGTGGGCGCCACGTGATGTCATTGGCTTTTCCCAAAGTCGAACGCCACACGTCTGAGGCGGTCATCGTCCTCCATTGCTTTTCTCTCAACTCGAAATGATTCTCTAGCATTTTGTGGGTATTTGCGTGTTTTAAAGTGTTTTTGACGAACTTTGTGACAATCTGTTCATCTGCTGATGTCCTACAGTGTAAAGAAAATGGGTGGTCGCCGACGTACCTCCACGGCTCAAGGAGAAGTGTCAGAAATGAGCCCCACCGGTTCGGATTCGTCTGTTTATTCGGATAAGAAGAAGCAAACACATCTTCGATGTGAACGACAACGGCGAGAGGCTATCAATGTGAGTTGTAAACAGTTCTCGATATTTTGATGTCTAGGAACTCATTGGTTTTCGAGCATTGGGTTTTTTAACCTTGAAAAGACAGAAATTTCTGGCAAATTGGAAATGGGATGCCAGTCCCCGCCACGCTGCGCTGCTTCGTCCACGCCCTCTCATCAACTGAGGTTGTAAGGTGCCGTAAGTGTACGAGAGAGTCTTTCAAACAATAAGAGAGGTGTGGACACGTTTTGCGCCCTACACTGGCTTCCAAGTTTTTGGCAGGTGACTGCGCCTAGGTGGGTGTCAAATGCGGAAGGCGAGTCAGCTCATCACCACCACAAGTCGGGTGGACATGCTATCCTTCCTCCGGGGAGTTGTTTCGCCTTCCCCTCCAGATGCTATCTCCGGTTTACGTGACTTCCTTTAACTTTCTCATTGTTATCTGTAACGAATGACTAGATAACGGCGTCGCTCGGTTCCAAATTCAAGGAGAAGGTGAGAATGCTAAGAGGCCTTTGAAGGGAGGGGCTCCGGGATAGGTGAACCACTTAGAGCGTGGCAAAATTTGCGAGGTGTGAGACAACAGTCCATGAAAAGTTTGTTAGGCGATAGAGCCCAGGCGAGACCATCCAAATGGAGGCAGTTTGATAGGACGGTCAAATTGCCATCAGGCCGAGGGGGCTAACAAGTCACTTTTTATAGAATTTTTTAAAATTTTTTCCCTCTCCGCCCTTCTTTAGGGGGGGTCCAATGACCCCTCTACCATCACCATGAGTCTGAACGCTTTCTTAATCACATACCCCTCCCCCTCTCCGGCCGTTTCCCTCACCCATGCACTCGCCATCCGTGAACTGCTTCTATACAGTTTGAATTCTGAGACTAGTCGATACACACAACTTCGCCCACCTCTTCCACCAAAACGACCGTCGCGCGGAGGGTTGAGGTAAATTAGTATCAGAACGACAGGAAATTTGCCTAATTCTTATCGCTACTTTCAGGACAAATTCGTCAAAAAAAAACCCGTCCAAAACAAAACCTTTTTAGCGACCTCCGTCAGCCTCCATTCCCAGATAGCCTTGCTTTTTTTATTCCCGGTGCGACCCCCGATCACAAAAATGCGACCCCCTCGTTCGAATTGTGCAACGGACGGTTGACCCTACCATACCCTGTTGTAAGGTTGGGTAGTAGACAGGGTGGCGTCATAGAACTTGCTCACCCCTGTGGTTTCACCTTCTGGAGAGCCACAATAACGCACCCTCTCAGAGAACCTAGTGCTCAAAGGCTGTTCGGGCTCAGACTCACCGTAAGAAGCCCTTCACCATGGCTAGAAGGGCTGGGTACGCAAGTGCAAAGGCAAAGTAGCGCCACCTTTCTACATCGAAACGCGTCACTAGGACCCTAGGCGCCATGGACTTCTAACAGACTCCACCAAACTTAACATGGTCCGCCCACCGTTCGATATCTTGTCTGCGTCGCCACGTTGATCTGCTATGCTCTCTCTTCTCGGACTTCTCTACCACTCTCCGCGCTCACATTATCTCTCATCTCCCTGCCTGTCTTTTGAACTTCTCCACAGCATGGAGCAAAATGCTCGTATTTCCTGTGTATTTCAGGATTTTCTTTCCTTTTTTTCTCTGGCGGTCCACCTCCCATCCCCACTTTCACATTTGAGTGGAATCAACCCCATCAATTAATCCTGATTCTTGCCTTTAAGCTACAGGGATTGATAGAGCACCAACAGATCAGTAGTGGCTTCTTGACGAAACCCTGCCTCATTCTACCCTAGGGTGAGGGAGGATAGCATCGGGGGAGGGGGCGCGTTTTCTCAGGGAAAGGATATGTAACATACAACTGTTAGAATTTCTCCGCTCCCCTCCCCCTTTAAATTGCATAGCTATCGCAAGCCAGATACAATTTATTTGTATGAGCTTCATGTGCTTCTTCCTAAATTCCATTTTTCAGAGCGGGTATTCTGACTTGAAAGAGCTAATTCCGCAAACAGCTTCTGCTATGGGATGTAAAACCACAAACGCGGCCATACTATTCAGGTAAGGTGTTGAAGTCTTACTCGTTGCTCAGGAAGCGCTTTCAGGGCGTGACGAGCTTTTTGAAAACGGTTTTTTGCATGATATAGGGGCAGATGCGGACCACAGAACCATGTTTAATTTTTTCCTGAACGGCCCTCTGAATACCAGAAAAAGGGGTCCCTAGTTCGATGGCCGCGTGAGTAAACCTTTTTGCATTTACGAGTGGCGCTGCTAAAAATCATCCGCGGCCCAAAATGGAGTCTATTTGCGCATGCAATAGGAATCAAAGTACCTATACCTCATGATAATAGGACCATCTTCCGAGTAACCCTTAAGTTTATTAGACTTTGATTGTAAAAAAACTGCACTTTGTTTTGTGAAACTGGTGAAAAAGGTGTGACACCACAGTGGGGCTGCTTGATGTCACGCCTCTCACACCAATTTTTAAGTCAAAGTCTTTTTGTAGGGGTTACTGACGGCCCTAATCATGAATATGGTACTAATTATTCATGCTAACTCCATTTTGCGCGAATTTTGGAACGTCAACTCGAAATGCAAAAATTTGTCACCACGAGGAATCGAACTAGGGACCCCTTTTCTGGTATTCAGAGGGCCGTTCAGGAAAAATTAAACATGGTTCTGTGGTCCCGCATCTGCCCCTATATCATGCAAAAGACCGTTTTCAAAAAGCTCGTCACGCCCTGAAAGACCTTCCTGGTGAGACTCCCGCTTGTTGAAAGCATCGTGTGGCCCGTTTTCTTTGCAGTTTAGATTTATCCTGTAATTTATTGTCTTTTGAAGGGCTTGTGACTACATGCATCAGTTATCGTCCGAAGTTAAAGACAATGAGAAAGAGATACGACAGCTCAGTGCTCAGGTTTGTTAATTTAACGTTTTCAAGTGCTCGTCGTGGTATTGATTTCGTTAAGTCCAAGTGATTCACAAGATTGATAACGAAGGAATGTTGAAATCCTCTGAGTTTTTTTTGCGCAATTATAATCAGGAAACTGGTTAAGATTTCTGCGCTAGAGATGATTGCGAGTCAGTATGAAGCTATGGCTGCTGAAGCTCCTCCAAGTGCCACCTCTTCATTGCAAACTCAAATGGTGAATTCAGCACTCAGGGCTTTTTATCGTAATTATTATTGCACTTGAATTGAATGTTCATTTTTGGTCGAAATATTTCTTTACAGTTGCAAATTCTGCTTGATGACTGCTTCTCATCGTTCGTTGAAAAGGTGGACTTCTCATCGTATGCAACCATTACACGAACACTTGCTCACATGGGTAGAGCAAATTGCAGCTCATAACGATCAATTTAAGGTGAAGTTTCGTTCGAACTTATGTTATTTTGCTATCTGGAATGATGATCCTAATGGGTATACTCCTGAAAAGCTGAGCAGACCTCCAAAACTTGTTAAACGAAGTGAAATGATAACGTGCTAACTATCCAGGGGGTTGTTTCGGTGTAAAAGTCGTGTAGTTTACCATTGGTAAGGCATGGTATAGAATGAAAGTGTGGCGCCATTTACGTTTGCCTTTATATTTCATGGTAGATTATTGACTAGCTGTGCACTTGTTTGAAAACAAAAGTTTGGGCCTTTTTATTCGAAACTATCATTTTTTGGCACTATTGCACTA